AGTCTCTCTGGGGAACTCGGTCTGGTACCCAAAGGGAGGTTTGAAATATTAGAAAGCTTATACTCTTCCTACAACCAGAAGTCATAGATACCAGAGAAATGAAAGTGAATTAAAGCAAGGTGAAGGTCTGTAGAGTGGTAAGTCGCATCATTCATCAGTACTCCAGTGGCCTCCCCGAGTAGGACAGCAGGGGGGACTGGCAATGACGGTCAATCTACAGAGAACAGGGGAGCCTGGGGAAGAGGGTGACAGTGTGTCATGCAAATGGGCACAAGCATAGGGGCCAAGCAGACAAATGAGGAGAGGTGGAACACGGCGAAAGCCCAGTGCACATAGCTGGAAAGAGTTGTATCAGGAACCACGTATAGATTCCAAGAACAAGACAAGTGGAGGTAGACAGAGAGGGTTATAGCTGAGAGGACATGATACACCATGCAGGACTCCAGGCACACAGCAGCCAGGGTTCAAACTCCTGACGCACCAGCTTCGGGGGTGGCCCCCTGGGGGCTTGGTCTACCCTTCAGAGAAGAGACTTGGGGTAGGGATCCACGCAGGCCCCAGAGATGACCCAAGGCCCCGGGGGCAGGGAATTCCAGAATTCCAGGTTACCAGGGTGAGGACTGAGGGGGTAGAGTAAGAACTCCACATGCAAACATCGCCTTGGGCCTGCTGACTATCTTCCCAGGGACAGACGTGTGGCTAGAGGTGAGCCAGAGCAGGGTCCCCAAAGACACAAGTCCAAAGCAAGGCCCTCTTATTCGGGTTTAAGTTAGCCCTGTGCTGGGTGAAGGCAGTGGTCCTTGAAAGAGAAAGGGGCACAGCAGAAGAAAAATGAAGATATGCGTCAAAAAACTTGAGTGGCTGAGGTCTACCGTTCTACCTCTAGACATTTGGATGACCTGAACCTCACGGTGCCTCAGTTTCCCCTTCTACAAAATGAAGTGAGTAGAAGTCAAATTAGGTAGTCTGTGCTAACATGGAATCCAGGCCTAAGCTCCCATGCATGGCTCCACACATCGGGGTGGGAGGAGAGGGCCTGTGGCTCATAGCCTGACAGAGGCAAGGGGCAAAATATGAAACCAGAGGGCCAGCAGAACCACCAACACCTGAAACTGCTGGGCTGAGCGGTGTGGGTCACCTGCACAGGATTCCTCTGGAATGGGACAAGGGTAGGGCCGTCCAGAGGACCTGCAGCTTAGAGGGGTGAGGGATGAGCATGGGAAAGCCAGCATGATCGTCCAGCAGCCACACACACACACACACACACACACACACACACACACACGTCTCACCCGGACCTTGTAAGTGAAAATGTATTTCCTGATTGAGCGCAGGAAGACAGGCCCCCTGGGAAGCTGTCTCTCTCTCATCTCACACATCTCCTGATGGCACGCAATTAGTGGCTCACCTCAGCAGAGCAAGTGTGAAGGTGCTTTCGCATGGCTTGGCTCTGCTCCAAGAGACTACGGGTAAGGCTGTAGAAGTGTTAGGAGCATTTCTTCATTTTCTCTCCCATCCTCACCCCCTTCCAGCTTCCTGAGCTCAGATAAAAGGGTCTTTACACCTAGAAACCAACAATGCGCTCTACTAGGTGGCCATTGCTAAGTCCAGCATTAATCAAAAGATTCAGGATTGACTCTGAATTGGAGTGCTCACTTTTATCCAGAGAGATGGAAAAGTCCCTCTTGGGGTGTAACACAAAAGTAGGAAAATGAAAAAATCATCTTCCTTTAATGTGGTCAACAAGGAAATAGCCACTCACTTTCCCCACCATGCCAGGTCCCATGACATCATGGCGCCCACGATCTCCCAGCCCACACCAGAGATGTAGGATCCGGTTCATGCCCAGCTCTTCCATGTCTATCCAGCTACCTCCAAAGGATGATAATCCAAGAAACATGGCCAGGAACACAAACACAGGTGTGTGTTCATTAGGCCCAGCCCTGTACTTAGTTCAAACACCGTGTCACCGACGCAATGTTGTGTGAGCAAAGGGACCAAAAGTCTCCCTTGCCAAATGCCCAAACCACCACCTCCTCATGACAGATGGATGGCAGGAGACTGTCAAGGTTACATCAGAGTCACTGGGGTTGGTGCCGTGTCCTCAGAGCAAGGCGAGGCCCTTGAGGAGGGGAAGACGCCAAAGGGATGCAGACCCACTTTCCTTGTCTCAACAAGAACAGCCCTGCTTTCATTTCTTGACCTCTCAGGCTAACACATTAAAAATTACTTAGAAATTATAACCCCAGGAGTCCCCTGATAAGATTATCTATGGGAAGACTACAGGTCAGCCAACTGTCAGCCACAAAAAAAGGGTTGTCTGCCCGCAAGGTGAGTTTTGAAGGCAGAGAACACATACAGGGCCGCCAAGAGACAGAGCAGGCCTGGGGCACGTTGTTTCTTCAGTGGGGGTTCCAATAGGCTACATGCTGGGAAGAATTTCCACTCAGTCCATGAAGAAGAAAAGACGAAACTCATCATTGACTCCCAGGGAAGAACATGAGATAGGCTGACCCCACGCTCAAATACACCATATGTTCCCATAACTCCTGTTCTAGAATAACTAATATTATTGAAATCGTCATGGCCATTATCTAAAAAGAAAAAAGTAATTGGCAAAACACAGATTGTGTTACACAGAATCAGATGTACCTTATGTCAGTGTTCCTCACACGATAGCTCTTTATCAGCTTCTGACAGAAATAAGGACTCTGAGAAAATACACTAATACGAAAATATGTCCACTGCATTCTGTTAAATGGAAAAAGCTCTTAATGAAAGAGGATGTGTATATGTATAAATACGTATGTATAAAATATTACAAAATATAAATATCTCTGGGTGAAAAGATTGCAATTTTTTCTTTTTTAACTATAGTTTGATTTTTTTCTGTGATGAGGAATATATTACATGTGTATTTTTTTTTTTTTTTTTTTGAGACAGAGAGAGAGAGAAAGAGAGAGAGAGTGAGCACAAGTGAGGGGGTGGGTGGCGCAGAGGGAGAAGCAGAGTACCCCCTGAGCAGGGAGCCCTACGCAGCATTTGATCCCAGAACCTGGGGAGCATGACCCAAGCCTAAAGGCAGACATTCAACCCAATAAGCCACCCAGGCACCCGGGTTGTTTTTTTAAGTTTAAAAAATATGGGGGCGTCTGGGTAGCTCAGCCGTTTAAGCCTCTGCCTTTGGCTCAGGTGGTGATCTCAGGGTCCTGGGATCCAGCCCCACGTATGGTTCCCTTCTCAGCGGGGAATCAGCTTCTCCCACTCCCTCCCTCCCTGCTCGTGCACGCTCTCTCTCTCTCAAATAAATAAATAAAATCTTTTTTAAAAAATATGATACAGCACGGTCAGCTGGGAGAGGGGAGGAGAGGCCTTTCGCAGGAGAAGCGGGGCAACAGAGCACTTCTAATCACAAGCACCCCTCTCCCCAAAGCTGAGCCCATACTGCACCTCTGCTGCCCCCGTGTGGCTGCGAGAAGACCTGGCACCTGGAGCCCTTCGACAAGGACGAACCCGGATCCAACTCCAGGATTATCTTGGATACATTCTTCTTTCTCTTTCACCAGTTCATAATGTGGATTTGTCCCACTCGTGAACATGGAGCATTATAAGTGCTAGGACGGGCGTTCAGGACGCTAACAAGTGGACACAGACTCTGGTAGGGGTTCAGGACCCAGAGATCTACTACGGCAGGAGTGAAGTTGGAGGTAAGAAGGGGCAAAGCCTCAGGAGACTACTTGACCACAGGGAACCATGAAAACAGAACCCTAAAGCGGTACTGGAAACCGTCTCCTTTGCTGAGAGCACCTGGAGCAGGGGGTGTTTATTTACTTCTGCCATCGTCTGTGGAGCACCTGAGGTGACTACCCTTGACCTGCTGTTTGAGGACATACGTTCCCAAAAATGCAGAGGGAAGTCCAGTGGGTTACAATGTCCGATGTTCCCACTGATGGCAGTTTAAACTTAGGAGTAGAAAAGCCTGCTGCCTAAGCATCACACCATGAAGACGGGAGCCAAATTGAGTGTTATCAAATGACAGGCAAATAGATTTAACCTGATCCCTTAATGATTGCAAAATCATTATTAGACATTAATGCTAAGCCTTGAAATGATTAAGTAATATTCTTCTTACCTAAAAGGCTATTTTTCTTGACTTGCATTGTCAGATCAGTAACAACTAAGGGCAACAGGATCCCCTAACGAATATTTTAATTTTTAAAGTGTAGTAGGCACTGCGTACACATACACACATTCTAGATTAAACTCCCCAACTCTTAACCCTATACCTTTTTCTTAATCCTATACTTCAACCCCTTTCTCTTGCGTATGACCCAGGATAACATTCAATACACTTCTCCTACATTTAGGCTCCAGAACCAGATTGCCTGCATTCAAATGCAGCTCTATCATTTATTGTGTGACTTTGGGCATATCACCTACCCGTCTGAGTCTTAGTGATCTCCTCTATATAATGGGGATATGAATAGGACCACCTCATAGGGCTGCTGGAAGGTTAAGGAGTTGACATCTGTGATGCGCTAAAAACAACACCTGACAAGAAAGGGCTAGAAGAGCCCGTTAACTCACTCTGTCCTACCGATATTTTTTTAAATGGGTTTGAAATGTCATTAATTTTTGTAAACTGTAACTTAAAAAACAAACCTGGTGTCCTCTTTTCCTTTCACGAATAAACACCATCTGTTACTAAGATTGGGTGATGATGAAAAGGCCAGTCCCTCCCGTCCACCTCTAAGGCTGAATGTCTTTTTCAGGAGAAACCAACTTACCATCTTTATTCTCCTCCAAGCTTCCTGCCATGTATTTTAGGAAAAGTAAAGAGTGTGTGTGTGTGAGTGTGTGTGCAAGTGTACATGTGTGGAATATGGCCATCCTGAGTGCCTTCACACCTTCCTCCTATTCTGGTCCTGGATCTGCCCTCCCCCCCTTCCCCCACTTTCCATTAGGCAGTTTCAACAGCTCTTCACTCCAGCGACACTCACCTATTGGTGTTCTCCAGAACCTCTACCTTCTTCCGAAGCTCCAAGTTCTCAGTTGAACAAGACTCCACCCTACAGAGGAGCAAGAGAGAAGACAATTAGTTGTATCAGTTGAGCAAATGCAGGTGGGGTTTGGAGAAGGAGGACTGGGCATCAGCTACTCTAGGGAAGTGAGGGAGAGAGCCTAGCCAACCTCAGTTGGGAAGAAAGGTAAGAAGACAAAAGAAAAAGAGAGAGAGAGATGAGTAACACAAGCCTCAGAACAAGAAAATGAATAAGGATGGTACAAACTGTAAAGTCCTAAAGTGTTCCAACCTCGATTTCTTTTATTTCATCCCTATTGCTCTCAATGTCCATCATTCATCTCTCTCATCTACAGGAGCCTGGATGCTGCTGGCTGTAGTCTTGGCCAGAAGGGCTGATAGGGAGCCAAAGGGCTCAAGATAGACAAGAGGGGAGGACAAATATGCAGCGCCTCAAGACAAGGAATCCAGCTGCAGGAACATGCCTCTCAGAGGCACTAAAGACCATCTTGACCCTGAAGCCTACAGAAAATAATGGAACAGCATTGGACTACTTCATGCTCAATTACCAACACCTAACCTAGGAATGTAGAGACACTAACTTTCAGTAGGAAGGTCAAGAACCGGCCAGGATCTGCTCTTCTCCCCAGACACACAGGAAGATTCAATTCCGGGTCAGGGGCCTCATTTCCGGGTCAGGGGCCTCATTTCCATCTTAGACGATATTTGTTGGTCAAGTGGAGAACTGTATTTCTAAGGCTAATACAAAATTGCATCTCGTTCATGTTTTTTCTACAGCCCTCCTGATATTCTGGACTACTCAGAAGAACAAAGGGTGTCTTCGAGTGTTTTTGTGGGTAGTAGCTGGAAGCATGAATTACAGTGGACGGAAAGTAAAGAACGCCGGCCGCCCTCGCTGCACTGCCCACTTGCCTTCTCTAGGGCGTGAGGGATGAATTAGCACTGCTCCTTTCGGCGGAAACAGTACCTCTCCTCTGAGGAGAGTTCCAGGAACGGGAATGAGTGTTAATATTTGCACTTGTATGAAAGGAAGCCTTCGAGGACTTACTCTGGTTAGAAATGCTGTGGCACCAACCCCTGCTAAGATTGAGTGCATTTTTTAACTTAAGGCCGTCCTTGTAAAGCCTCCCCCTGTCAAATCCACTAGGTGGCAGTCAAGACCTAGGGGATGGACCAACGGGCTTTGATGGTGGCCAGAATGAACTTTATCCACTTTCCCTGAAAACAGAAGCTTGGCACACTCCCATTTTCCCTCGCAGATCACCCAGTAACACACCCAGTTTAGGCAGGAGGCTTACTTTTTCTCCAAGCTGTCCATGTATTCTTTCTTCTTTCTCCTACTTTCCTGGGCAGAAATCTGACACAGAAGGGGAGAAGAAAGGATTAACTTCCTGCCCGCTCCAGAAGTCAGTTGTGTGTAAATGAAAGAGAGGAGTCTGTTCTCATAGAAATCCCCAGAGTCCTGCTCATTTCTGTGGCCGTTCTTCATTGAGATACCCTGCTGGCTCATCTGTGAGTCATCTCTTCTGCCCTCCCTGGTTTCAACCAGCCTGTGTGGTCACTAGTTCCCACCAAAGTGGGCCCCTCGTGGGAAGCCTGGCAGGCCTGAGTCAGAACAGAACATGTGGGTCACAAACCATCTGTGTCATCTTCAATAAATGATTTCAACTCCATGGGCCTCAGTTGGCTCAGCTAGAACATGTACACCGAGACAGTTGGGCTTGGTCAGACATAACCCCCTTCCTGGTTCTGCACAGGGACGAAGAATGGTAACTGAACTCTCTTTTTCTTTCTTTCTCTGTCTCTTGCCTTCTGGCCTGTCTGTACCCTAGCCATGCCCCCTGACCTCACCAGTCCTGATTTGCCCTGTAGGGACCTAGGGCTAGGAGACTACTAAATCCAGGCATAGAACAGCAGACTACAGGATTTTCTTTTTTTTAATCAAAAACCTAGTAAAGAAAAAAATTAAACACCATTTATATTAATTTATTTATAAATTATATACATGCCCACGAGAAGGAAATGTTGTGTACATCATAAAACAGAAACTTAAAAATCTGATGTAAAAAATATTAATGGGAGTTCTAATGTTTTCCTCTTAGCCTCGAATGGATCCCCATGGGCACCAAGGAGTAGGCACACCCAATTTGGGATCCACTGACCCAGAGGATGGGTGGAGGGACTGGAGGAACACAGGGGTCAGTGAGGACTGTGTTCCTGCTCCCCACTGAGGGAAAGGGCAAGACTGAGCCTTGTCCCCCTTGTTGTCCCTCCACGAGATGGGCCAGTGTTGGCCACTGGGAAGAGGGGGAGTGGGGGTACCCAGGCTTAATTCTTGTCATGGTCTCTGATCATAGAAGCACCTTGATTTAAAGGGCTCACCTTGTTCTTGATTTTCCTCCGAATCTTCTTCAAAGCTTTCTCCTCTGATTTTGTTAGAGGCAATTTGGTGGGGATGGGATAGCCCTCGGCGATCAGGGTCCTCTTCTCCTCTTCTGTCAGGACCAGTGGACCTGACCCTTGCAGTTTCTGTACAGATTAAGGGGCAGAAAAAGGGTCAAAGCAGAACAACTGGGCAACACTCAAGAAACTTGCAAAATTCAGGGGCACTTGGGTGGCTCAGTGGGTTAATAAGCCTCTGCCTTTGGCTTAGGTCATGATCCCAGGGTCCTGGGATCCGGCTCTCTGCTCAGCAGGGAGCCTGCTTCCTCCTCTCTCTCTGCCTGCCTCTCTGCCTACTTGTGATCTCTCTCTCTCATGTCAAATAAATAAATAAAATCTTTAAAAAAAAAAGAAACATGCAAAATTCTGAGAGAAAAGGATGCTCATATGCTTCAGGTGAGACATGAGTAGTCTGAAGTGGAAGCAAAGATGGAGAACACAACCAAGGATTATCACTCAAGGGAAAGGGTGAAGAAACCTCCACCCATCAATTTCCGGAAGGTACCCCAATGGGTAAAACATCAAAAGAAACATTACAGGATTCATTTCCCACATCTCGAGATTTCATGGCCTTGGAGTGATGGGGGATTCACTTGGAGCTCTTGGTGAAAGAGTGTCCTTATTCTCCTGAAAACACAATTTTGCAAGATGCTCTCCACATACCAGGGGTCACTTCTTGTCCCCCACTAAGAGCTAAGGGGCCAGGGCTCCCAGAAATACACCTGCAGGCACATCTCATGGAAGTCTCTGGCTTTGGACAGTCCCAGATTGTTCATCAGCAGTGAAGACAAGGACTATAGCTCATCTCATGTGGCCCATCATAGAATGATGAAGCTGAGCGCCAACAACGTCTGAGCCCCACATTCAGTGTCATGGAACAGTCCAAAAAAAAGGCATCTCTCAAGTCATAGCTTGTGATCAAGACTGAGACTGAATTAATACACATGGAAGGCTGAGGGAAGTAAATGCTATGCTGTAATACAACTCAAGGTGCATTCAGAATCTGGGGAGAGAGACACATGAGTGTGTGTGATAAGGAAAGGCTTAAGGGTAGGTGGGAAGACTGACATTGGGTTAAAAGGAAGGGGATGATTTACATAGAGAGAGGAGGGCATTCCAAGCAAAAGGCAGTATTCCAAAAAGCACTTGAAGATGCTATCCTGTCTAGAATGGATAGGAAGTTTTTGAAACAGCAAAGGGTCAAGGTGCCCAGTATAAAGTAGAAGTACTGGGGTTTGATACCAAGAGCTAATTGAAAAGCACAAATAAGACACTGTAGGGGTGTGACACCAGGAGGACTTCCTAACACGGCCACAGATCCAGAACTCTGTGGGGCACGCTGACTGAGAGATGATTCTTACAAAATTTTTAAATATCTCATCTCATTCAAATGTTCTGTATGTGACATAAATTCAATAAGGTTGACAATAATTTTATCATTTTTCAGATTTCATAGAAATCAATGAATTTTTCAGAATAGTAAAATGTTAATTCTCTGTCTCCATTTTTATCTGGGACAAGGTGCCCTTATACACATTAGGGATGAATGATGACTTGTGCTTTCCAACACGAGTCTCTGGGTTGGGAGTCATACCATAGGCAAGAAAGGGTTAAACTATACTTTTGAGCGTTCAGCAACAAAACATTTCATCTCGGACAAAGTTTTAGGTTCATCAAAGACTGTTTATTTGAAAAACAAGTTATTTCCTATCGTAGGCCACAGGATTACCGAAAGTGATAGTAAGTATTTGGGACGTGATTTTGAGGAGGAAGGCAACACAACAATGTGACCCCTTCTGCTCTGGCTGTGTCCAATGAAACAAACAAGCAGTAAGGGGCATGTGCACAGGGAAAGGGAGAGGATGGTGTTAGCATGGCGAGATCAATAGGCAGGTCTTTAAAAGTGTTCTTCAAGGTGGCTATCACCCTGCTTTAGCAACTAAACCTAAGACTTCCTTACAAGAACAAAAGTCAAGTGGCCTTGAAGGACACCGGCTCCCAGCGAAGCTCCAAGGGACCAAAGGGTAAGGGCTGCGGGCGAAATACTCACGTGAGGGGCCGTGAGGAGAGGGGAGCTGGACAGGGCCGAAGGGGCCCGCGCCACGGCTCTGGCAGGGCTGTGGGTCTGCGGCAGGCCGAAGGGGTGCAGGCGGGGGTTGGGGCTCAGGCTGCCCTCTGAGTCGCTGCTGTGGCTGCTGGGAGGGGTGGGGGGTAAGTGCAGGTGCTCCACGGAGGCTGAGGGAAAGAAAGCGGGTTTCATCCATCAGACAGCAACGAAACAGGACTCGGAGGCGGTCAATCAGCTGCACGTCCACACAGCTGAATGCGGGTCAGCTGAACAAAGGGATGGAGATTCTGCTTGTGCAGAGAGGGAAAGATCTCCAGTGTATTTTGTTAGGGGGGAGGGGGTAATATCAAGGTGCAGAACGGTATATCAAGGAGCCCTCCTTTTGTATGAAAGAGGAGAGCAGGTGAATACAGACTCCTATTTGTTCATCTCTGCATAAAGAAACATAGGAAAAACATAAGAAATTAATAAAATTATGACCTCTTGGGGGCTGGGGGAAATTAGGGTAAACCGTGGCAGGGTGCATAACTTCTCACTGTATTTGCTTCTTATCATTTATATCGTTTGACTTGTGAACCACGTTAATGGATCAGGTGCTTAAAAAAAAAAATTAACAAAACCTGGAGCCTGAGAGCATTCAAAAAGGCTGTTTTGAGAAAAGCTCATTTGTTTCTGAAGGAATGTGCATGGCAGGGCCCCCAGGCAAGACGCCTGACATTCTTCCTTCAGAAAATCCTAAATCCATCTGTAGCTAGGTAGGTAGGCATTGGAAAAAGGGCGTGTGTGTGCGCGCGCGCCTGCGTGCACACATGTGTGTGCTGGGGGGGCCTTGCTGCTCCACAGTCCCTTCGCCTCCCCTCAGGGAGTCACAGACAGGCTGTCTGCTGGAACGTGTGAGCCACAGTCGGTGTCATCAATCACACATCTCCAGGGCAGCGGGGATGGGCTCCAGAAGGCAGAATCCACTCTGAATTCAAACTTACGGACAAAAGAGCTCTCCTTTTTCTGGTCTCCTTTCTATTCCTGCTAAGCCGAAGTGCCTTGAGAGGCAGCCACTGTTTCTGAGCCAAGGGGCACAAACTTGGATAAGCCTTTCACCCCACACTGCTTCGGGGTCCCCAAGACAACCGAGCCCTTTAGTACCAAAGGTGCAGCTTGGCCGGAGGAGAGCTTGGGGTCACGTAAAGGATTCAGCCTCCTCTTCTCTCCTGTAACCAGAGACCGCCTGAGGTGGGAAGGGCCTTCTGAGACACAACTGACCCACCAGATCCCACCCAGAGCCAGTCATGTGCCTCCCAGCCATCCCTCCTGCTGCCCTCCCTGCTATTCACAGTGCACAGCTCTTTCTCTGCGTCTTCCTCTCTTTGTCTTTTTCTAACATAGTACCTTCACTAGATCCTTCCCCTTTTCTCTGACAAAGTCTTGCCAAAGAGCCCCCTGAGCTTTGTAGAGTCTGCGGGCACTTCGAAAGCTAAGGAATATTCTAAAATAATCCTAATGCCAACATCCCTGCCCACGGTTCCAGGGGCCTTAAATATGCTTCCCCCTCTCCCATCCCTGCCCAGAACAGAGTCCAGAGAGTGTCAACCAAGGTGTCCAATGGCTTCCACAAAGAGGCCATTGGACCGAGGTGTCTTTCATGCCATGGTCTATGTGAGCAAACCAAGATCGATGCCTGTAGACACATCAAGGTTACCAAATTGAAACCCAAGGACAACCAGTCACAGAGAACCAACTAGGCTTTAAACAACAGCCACTCAAGGATCTCCTGACTTTGCTTCCACAAAGTATCAAAGTCTCTCCTGAGCGCCCAATGGTGGAAGGCTCCCAACACCTTCTGGTTTGGCGCTGCCAATTTGAATACACTTTTTCTCCAATAAACTCCTAAAAATTTTAATATGCCTCAGTTTATCTTTTAACAATGGTGGGAAAAACCACCACCACCACAACAACAACCAAACCCAAGAGCAAAACCTATCAGGGGCTCCTGCTGCCTGCCACACCGTGCTGTTACATTCAGGAGAACTAGCCAAGGCACCTACAGCTTACTTGCCCCTCTCCCTTAGCACAGTCCAAATTATTCTAACATTTTTTTCTTTTCCAAGCAGAAGGTGCTCTACAAAAAAACAGAAATGGCGTATCAGGAAAAGTGAGAGAAACTCAAATTTCCTTGTTCCTGCTTATTAAGAGCTTCTGACCTGGCTCTAGGTGCCTCGGTATCAGATTTCTAAATATCACTTGAAATACCAGTCTCAGATTACTTGAAAGGTCTGGGGACAGCAAGCTACTTTGCCTAGAAGCTCCACTGCTTCTAAGATATTGAATTTCCTCCTCTCTGTTTGTCTAGGATAATGAGGAAGGACGGCCCGCCACTTACTTTACTTTCAAAATGTTTCTTTTCTAGTGATCCCTGAGTCTGAAGCCTGAACCATCATTGTTACAGTTAGGACACTTTCTGAAGCATATGGCAACATAAACTAAAAAAGCAAGATGTATTGGATAGTCTTCATGAAAAAGAAAGGAATTACTTTAGAACAGTAAGTAAGCGGAAAGCACTAATGGATAACACTCCGTGGAAAGATATATTGTTTCTAAATGGATTCTAGTCGATACTGTTAATTTCAAAAATGTAATCGTTTCTTACTGATAACAAAGGCGAACACAGCCCTGATTAAACTGTCACAGATAAAATCCCGAGTTCCTAGCAGAATGAAGGATGTTATGCTTTCAATGAGAACTGCTCATTTGTCACACCCACACATTTTCTATGACAAACGCATACATGACTTTCTTATTTGTTGACCACACTAACGAACTGTCTAACCTCGTCCAGAAGACATCAATAAAAAGATGACAGTAGGTCTGAAGGCACAAAATTTAAAGCACAGGGCCCACGCAGGGGTATCTCCATTTTTAAAAAGGCCAAAAAAGCCTCCTTAGACTTTATGACACTTGTTGGGGGTGGGGGGCGGTGGTCAGTGTTCAGGATTCCCCAGTATGGGCTTCATCTGAGAACAAGAAGGAGAAGTCAGAAAGAAACTGATGCAAAGAAAGAAAAAGTGAAAAGTATGACAGCTTAGAATACGACATTGGGATGCATGAACTAATTTGTAACTAGGAAAGAGGCTCCTTGCAACTACAGTCCTCCAAAGTCAGCATTTAAGCACAGTGAATGATCAAATCATGGATTCACTTGACAAAGGGTTTAAACTGAGTTGTTTTAAACAGGCCAGGTGCCTTCGTGGCTATTCGTCTATTGGCCTCCACTGCGCACGCCCTCAGAACAGAGAACGGGGCTTGATTCACACATTCACACCCAGAAAGCTAACACTTGCTTTGTTTATCAGCACCCAAGTCACAGCTGACCATAAAAGTTTGGGGAAAAAACGCCTCTGCTAGGAGTAAAAGTAAAATACAAGACTTAGCATAAAAGCCTTAAGCATATACACATATTTAGATAAAAGATTTAAGCATGTAACACAGAGGGGAAATTAAAACTTAGCTTTCAACATTTGTACTTAGAACCAAGGTTTTCGAGAGCAGAGCTATTTCAGAGAGCAGGCGATGCCTGCGCTACACATTAACGCCAGCACTCTCTCCCACACCCCCTTTCTCCACACACCGACATCCGGGACCCCAAGGAAGCCAGGGAGAGCAGACGGACCTTCTTTCGGAGAGAAGTTGAGGAACTGATCCACTTCATGGGGCTCCAGCTTGATCTTAGGTATAATGGTCTGGCACGAGGAATCAACCTAGAGGAGGAATTCCAAACAGTTTTTAAAAACCAGGAACAAACCTAGAGGGACACCAGGGGAGCGACTCGTCATTCAACTATGTGTCTCCCTCTCTGGGCAGCCCCGCTTCTCCGGGCTGAGCACAAGCAGGTTCTTTCTCTGACAGGCAGGAGGCTTCCTTTACTTAGACTTTCTCTCACCGCCTAACCCGGCACTTCAGCCGACCGAGCCCTCGGGATTCCAAAGTTAAAAAACCAGGCCTCCTCTTTCTATTGTTTTTATCCTAACATAAATACCATAAAATAGTTTGGCAACTTTGAAAAGGGCCACAGGCCTCCAATAGTTTGTCCTACAGCAAGAGCTGCCTGAACCAAGGGGCCTGTGATCCCCTCCAGGCTTCCTCAGGACTGACAGTGTCGAACCATGAACACGCGGTACAAAAAGAAGAAAAGGTCTCTGGCCTATGCGTGGAGCGAGGCCAAGACCCTGTCCTTGCTTAGTTACACACTGAAAAATCAACCGAATTGACATCTCATGGTTTGAGAAGACTGAGAGACGCTCTAGAAGCCCAATGCAATGAACAGACACAGGCCGCCCATGAGAAAGGAATTCTAGAGCGCAGCTGTAGTGGGGCTCTGTCCACAGTCTCCCACTTTTCCCAGAGGGGTTGTAGAGAGCGCTAAGAACAAGTGTGCACCAAAGCTTTCTACTGCTTCTGTGTGACCTCTTCCTAAAAAGGCATAGGTAGATAGGACGCCTTGCTCAGAGAAGTTCTGACTTAACATCAATGGAGCGATTGTTTATAAACCTTTGGTTTTGAACTTTAGGAAACTCAGGACTGGCTTTCAACATCTGGAAGAAGATATCCACGTATGATTCTGGTCCACCACTGCACACTGGAAATGCCTGGAGAGAAGGTGGGGTAGGCATGTAGGCATGGAATCGAACAAGAAAGAAATGCCCAATTTAGTATGTTTTCCATGTGTAATACATTAAAAGTTGGCAGGTGGGAGATCCCCAAATTGGGTCGGAGCAACTCCACATTGCACAAAGAGAGGAAAACATAACACAGGAAACAACACTTCCCTCAGCGCCGGCATACAAGCCAAGGATTGCATCATCATTTAGCCCCTCTTTCCACTGGCCTAAAAATCAATCCCATGAGGAGTTTGGTTTTTTGTTTTTTCTTTTTTTTTAAACCATGGATATCGGTCTATTTATCTTAATTTTGTAACAACAGTCATCGGAAAAATGAAATCAGACTTGCTACCAGTTTTCTGAACAATGCCTTCAAAGGAAGTGGCATAATCAATGCTGATCCCATATCAACACAGCCTTGATATATACATACACACATACACAATTACCTACCCTGAAACATCTAGAACCCTTAACTCCAAAAATGGTTAAATGCCTTATTGGAGAATAAGGATCCATGTCTTTTGATCCAATGTGTGTGTAGGGAAGAAAAGTGAGCATACCCCAGTATTCATTTCCAGCGGGGGTCCCTCCTTCTCAAAAGGGGTGGAGATGGCTGTGATGGTCAGAGTGACGGAGGGAACAAGTCCTGGGGGCGGCTCCTCTGTAATCGGCTCTGTCTTGATGGTGGTTGATGGAAAGTCTGTAGACAGGTACCATTTCTCACTTTCCACTTCATCTGTGGGGAAAAGACCAGCACATGTATGAATCTGGTCGGGGGTATCAGACGTAAGTAAAACAAGTGACCACTGACCCTGCTCCTCAGAAAAGAGCTCCAACCATAGGTTACTGAGAGTAGAATAAGAGGAAATAAAGCGAGGATGTGAGAGAGGAGATAAATGGACAACGAAATGAATGGCGAAGTAAGAATCTATACTTGCATTCGTTTGAGTGTAAGTACGCCTAAAGGAACTCAAGGATCCACGTCAAAGAAACCTGCCTTCCTGGTCAGGGCAGGAAGGAGGCTGGGTGGACGGGAAACAGGACAGGAGGGAGAATCTCCATGTGTGATGTTGTATACCTTTTGGTTTTCAAATTGAGTGACTATGTTATCTATTTAAAAGTAAATAAGCACATTTTTAAAAGATTTATTTATTTGCGTGGTGAGGGGAGGGGCAGAGGGAGGAGAAAGACTCTCAAGCAGATTCCCCGCTGAACACAGAGCCCGACAGGGGGCTCGATCTCAGGACCCTGACACCAGGACCCAAGCTGAAATCATGAGTTGGATATTTAACCAACTGAGCCATGCAGGTGCCCCAATAAGTACATTTAAAATTAAGAAACAAATGGTGTATAACCAGAGTCTCAGGAGAGAGGTCTGGGAACCACGGTGAGGTGGGCTCTGTTCTTCTCCCAGTGGACAGTTACTTGTTTTCTTTCTTTTTTTTTTCTTCTCACCCCCTATTGTTGTCCTCTGGTTTCCCTACAATCCCAGTTTTGCCTTAAGCCTGACCTAGACCTCTGGAACTTTACTTAGCCCTCTGTGAAACTTCAGAGTTTGTAACAAACTTCTGCCTTTACTGAAATGGACCAAATATCTAGAGAAAAGAACCGGATCTTGACAAGCGTGGATCTTGGCTTGCTACTGGCTTTCATGATGATGACAGGCCTAGAGATCAGGACAAAGGAATAGGAACAGACAGAAGCACCTCTACAGTAAACATGCATTCTTCTAGGAGCTCACGTTCACCTGTTTCTTACCAAATTACTTCTGAGCCACTAGCCAAGCACAGCCCTGGAAAAGGAGGGAGACGGGCAGAAAAGACAAGACAAGGGGATTGCAAACAGGTGCAGAACAAGAAAAAACAAGTCAGAAATTCCCAAAGTCAGCATTCCTCACCTGAAACCATGTTTACTAAAATGAGGCTAAAATAAAGCAAAGATACATTCCTTGCTTCATGAAAATATTTAAACACACACACATAGTTAGTGAATGATTACGATACAGAAGAGCAAAGTTGTTCCCATTAGGAAATAATTCTACACTCAAGAATTGGACTCAGTGGGAACTCAAGCTTTCTTAAGGAAAGGATGTGAAGATCATTTAAGAACTGCTAGACATGGGAAAAGAGTGGGCACAGAAGCAAAAAACAAAAAGTTCACAATTATTAAAATTGCGCTTCCTAAGCAACTTCCTTGAAACTCAAGAAAACATTAGATTCACATGTACAAAGGAGAATGATGTGCCCCCCTAAATCGAGTTTGTATCTGACTTGATTAATTATCCCAGCCCTGTATTTCCTGAGGCAAAGTAAAGATGGGCAAGACTTCTGTGGGTAGAAGATATTTTCCTTTTGGAACTGGTTCTAAAAAGCTGCTGATTGCTATGGTGTGATGGGAGAATTTCCATCATTCGCAGGGGGCTCACCACGTCCTGGCCGAGGGGGAGGGGGAAGGAAACAAAGGGCCTTTTGATGGCAGCCAGAGGAGAGAGACCACGTTGGACTTGACACAGAATTCTGCTGGCCACATGGACTCCCTGAACAACTTAGAGAAGCAACTGGATGAAGAGCCAAAAGAAGATTCTAATGCCTCTTCCAAAATGAGCTTAAGAACTAGAAAATTCTGTCACCAGCAAGGAAGACACACTCAGGACAGACAGATCTGGGGAAGGGCTGGAGAGACAGAGGACACAGATTCCACTTTCTCTATTCAGCAATGACATATGGATGCCTTTTCCTTTGTGAAGTCAACACTTACAGCCTGTCTGCACGAGCAGCATTTATCCCTGCCAGAGACTGGGAGGGAGATAGCAAGATGCAATACGGCCTCAGCGTATATTAAAATTAACAGTAAGGAGCCATCGCTGAGAAAAGGTCCCACCAGGAAATTGTGAGATAAGGCCAGATCCTCAGGCTGTGCACTTATGACTACTATAATGAAGCTTACTTAATTCACGGGGGGGTGGGGGGGGAGGCAAAAATAAAAACAAAAAGCAATATAGAACTATAAGACAAAATAAAGACAGGTAAATGCAATCAGTTCTTCCCGTATAGCTAAGTCATCCTCAAACATGGGACAAGATGGTTGATATTCTTTTTTTTTTTTTTTTTAAGATGGTTGATATTCTTAATGCTCAATGTCCTGCGAGCCTATTTTAAAATTATATATAATTTAATTTTAAATACACACACACACACAGTTAGTGAATGATTACTATATTCTATTATATATACTATATACTATATTCTATATGATTATTTTAAATTTTAAAATAATCATTATATATTATATTATATATTATATTATATATTATATTTATACATATAATTTATATACATATATAAATATATGTATATTTATATATATGTATAAAATCATTGCTATATCAGCAATGGAGACTGAAGGACAAACAATGAGATTTGAACTACGAAGCAAAACCTCCTCTCTCAAAGACACTGAACTCTCCCAAGTGAGAAGCCCAGGGAAGTGGCCTCTCTTCCCGTGAGCTTTGTTGAGGACAAAACACTGGTGTTGCCTTTGTGCTTCCACTTCAATAAAGTAATTTATTACTCTAACTTCAAGATGGTGTTTGAATTAGAAAGGAGTTTAAGGCCATCGAGCTCAAATACATCATTTTCTAATGAGGAAGTGGACACATAGATCCAGATTGCATGGTAAAATAGTGACCGTCCCAGATCCCTGCATTTCCAACCAGTAGTCCTTCCATCCAAGAAACAACTAAAAATGTAAATAAAGATTTGTGCACAGATATGCTTACTGTAGCATTATTTTAATCACAAAACACTGAAAAGAACCAAAACATTAAAGAGCAAGGGCAAGGTGAACAAATTATGATGCACCCATACGTGAAACATTTATGTGGATAATAATATTACACATGCCAAGTCTCTTTAATAACAAAGCAAAGAAAGATTTATTATAGAATATTAAGAAAAAATCTAGATATACATTTATATATTATTAATGAAGAACTGAAAGGAAGCATATCAAAATGGTAAAAATATCTCTAAAGAATAATCCAGAACACGAATGACTTTTTTTCCCCCCCTTTAGATTTTATATGATTTCTAGATTTCCTGTAGCAGGATATACTGTTCCTGGATAATCATACATGGACATGGCCTGCTTTCTCTGCCTGCTCTATTTTATGATGCCTTATGATGGTAATTATTAGATAGAGGCCCCAGTGGCTCAAGGGGGGCCCACTCAGAGTCCCTTGACTCAACAAGAGTCAATGAGTACTTTCATGTTTGTTATAAATTGCATAATTGGCTTCAGGTCTATACTCACCTCTCTATCCATGTCCACTGCCATGCAGTTTTGCAGTGCCTTCCCACTGTGGACTAATCCCCACCTCGGACTGGCCACGTGACTTGCTTTGGCCAAAGGGATGTTAGCTTCCTAACACAAGTAAGTCTTAAAATGCACTTGCACAACAGGACTTACATACTTGTGCTTTTGACATCCTAATGAAAAGGATGTGCCAGGACAATCTACTGACCCCAGGAGAAGGAGGACAGACACGTAAAACAGAATTTGGCCCACAAAGGAGCCTGATCAAGATCAGCCAATTCCCAGCCTTCCACATGTGAGTGAATCTGGTTGAACCTAGGAAAATCACTCGACTATCTTCTAGCTAAAGCAGCTGACCTCCAGCCAAGGCACAGATATATGAGCTATAATAACAAATGATTGTGGCTGAAGCTAGAGTCTTGGGGTGGTTTGTTACACAGTGACCTAGCTGGCTTATACAATCTAGCTGAATGTGTATACAAGAAATTAAATCCATTACATCAGAACCCATTGCAACAAAAGAGCTGCACTTACTTGCCATCTAAACCATCATTTGTGAACCATACCAATACCATACCAATAAATTTGTAGAGTGACTGATTAGATCTACCTACCAGTCCCATCATAAAATAAATGACTGCATATAGAACAAAGTCAGCCAGTATGAAGTTTGGTGAGAACAGCATTTCATTGGCAGTTGACATTAGAGAGAAGAGTGTTCATCCTAAACTACAAAGTGTTGGCTTGTTCTCTGTTTCTCCCTAAAAATAAATATCAAATCAGAGAAAACAAAATGACAAATGTAACCTATGAGGCAGGGTGTTAACAAAGGGCAGAGTGAAAGGAAGTGAGCGGAACACATATTACAATTTTCCACATGACCTTATTCTTGTAGTTTGATTTTATGGGCAAAAAGATCAGTAGTGCCACCATGGCTTAGAACTGGAATTATCCTTAGATGTTCGAGTTATTGGCTAAACTACAAAAACAAGAGTCAATACACTCTACACCCCCTAATTTCTAAAACCTGAAGCTCAGATATTGAGTGGAAAAAAAAAATTTTTTTTTCCCCTAAATTGTGTTTACATTGCTTTAAAGTTTCACTTTGGAAGGAAAACATTACCCAATAACTAAGGTCAGTAGCGCATACTGCGGGAAAGAAGAACAACCCCCATATCATCCGACTTTATTTATAAACAGCTTCCTGTCAAAGGTCAAGCTCAACTGGCATGTTTCCTCAGCATCACAACTTAGCTATCAGCAAGGAAATAAAAACAAGCCACCGTCTCCTGGTGGTGAGCAAGTCCTTCCCGTCCAAGGACAAAATGGCACCTCTGTGAGAAATGGCGCTAGACTCTGAGATTATTCCCACAGCAGGGTGCCTAGAGGGGCTAGAAAAGACAAGGAGGGAAACCAGTGTGG